GGAGGCCCTCACCTCTCTGCCTGCAAACACCTCTTGGCCAGCATGTATTTCACTCCTGATGGGCAGCTTGGGGCAAGGAAAGCAGCCGGACGGCATCCGCTGATGAGAAGCTCTGTTCGGATGAGGAAATGGGGGTCCTGGGACTCCAGGGCTACCTGTGGGGGACTCTCCAGAGCCTGGGAAGAGAAGAAAGAGGGTGAAGGAAAAAGGCCGGACTCTGGCATGAAGTTTGGCCTTGCTCAGCTACAGCAGGACTATGCTATTTGAGGCTCAGCCGTTCTCATTTTATCAGATTTATTAGAACAGTTATTTCCCAACCTTGACGCCCTTGAAGATCTGTGCACTTCAATTTGAGTATTTATTAATACTTATAGGCCGCCCATTTCCCTGAGGGGACTCAGGGCGGCTTACATAAAATCAAGGGGGGGGATATACAAACAGTAACGCAGACAAACATAGAATAAAATAATGAGCAACATTCATTCATCATTCGGGTGGGGGCAATTATCTTTGTCCCCAGGCCTGACGGGCTAGCCAGGTCTTAAGGGCTGTGCGGAAGGCCTGGACGGTGGTGAGGGTACGAATCTCCATTTGTATTCAGCTATCAAATTGTTCCATTTTGGAAGGAAGAAAACCATTGACCAGAATGATAATAAATATTATATAATATTATAAAACACTAGAACCAATATAGGTAGTATATAACATAACTGTATAAAGTTAGCTTAAAATAGATCTAAACTAAAAGATTTAAGACAGTTAAATAAGCCATGATACCTAGAAAAAAAAATATTTGTAATTTACCTCTTATAACATAATTATCCAAGGCTTCTTCCATTCTTTGCAAAGCTTCATTTCGGTTGGATCCATAGGTGATCAGCTAAAACATTTAAAAAAATGAACTGTATAACAACCAAAATATTTTTGTCTCAAACATGCTGCCTATTTTACAATTCCTTTTTAATATTATTAAGTTTTAATACATAAGTTCACTCCTCAAACTTTATGATTTCTGTTAAGTCAGAATTTTGTTTAGTATCTTTGCCAAATGAAGGCATGACAACATACAAACCTCACTGCATATGGTGTCCATAAATCTTATTCTAAATTAGGAATCGGATATCCAAAACGTAAGTTATATACATGTTTCTAGCTTTTTCTCTCAGCACTGGCAGGGTGCCATTCAAGCAGACTCCTACATCACACTCTACATCTGGTAATTTTATGAGACCATTTATTAACTTTTGACAAACTGGCATCTATAGAATCGATAGTTACATGATTTCTGACAAAAACAAAATGGACTGGCAGTGATACTGATGCTGTTAGGTTCAGACTGGAAGTGAAAGGTTTTTTTTTATTTGTGTGTGTGCTTAAAATAAAATTAGGCTGCACCCATTGATTCCATCCTACCAATAAACACTGGGAATATCATATGGGAAATTAAAACATTTTTAATTATTATTATTTTAATGTGGCTGAATCACATTTGAAAAGGGACACGACATACAGGTGCTTTCTGAGCTTTGGGAATTTTCTTGTAGACATTTAATTATCAAGCAAAGTAACATCATCAGTGCTAGAAGGGAGTGAGGTTTCCTCTTATTTTTATATACTATGAAATATCTGCAAGAAAACCACCAAACTCAGAGAGCACCAAGAACCCCAAAGTTCAACTCTGAGCTATAAATATTCTTTTCTATTGGTTCTCATTTATCTGCTGCAGTGTCCAAAATATCAGTCCTAGAATGGTTATTATTCAGATGCTTGTCTATTTTTTATAAATCCAAATCAAGATGGGAATTATCAATGGTATTACTTTTTGTGGCTTTCTGGATAGTATTGTAATTAAACATCCACTGTGAGCCAACATTCTAATCTATAGCTTGCACATCTAGGAACGTCTTCCCTATAGTGTAATATAGGTCACATAAAATAACAGGAGAAATATAGAAAGATTACATTATTTATTACATATCTCTAACAATATAGCTGTTAATATATCTATAAAATTTCTGTTCCATTCAACTGGAAATCTATCAGGATTTGCCATACTTTCATATATTATATTGTCTCCACTAATTTCTTGGCAGTTCAAAAGTTTTGCTAGTTCTATTATCTTCTTCCAAGAGATTACTTCCTTTTCAATACTTCCAAAGAAATTGATAATTTGCTGCTCAATTACAGATGTCTTCAATGCATGTAGCTCTAGTATAAAAATAATAAAATTAGCAAATATCAAATTCTGTGCCTTAGGATAATTGATCTTGGAAACAGCCAAAGAAGATGCAATTCTAAATTAAATCTTAACTGGTGTTTGTGCACTACTGCAAGATATGGTAAAACCAATAAGGAATCCCGATCACAATGGTGTTATAGCTAGTTTTAGTGTGTAATGGAAGTTGTTAACTAGGTGCAAACACAATTATATTTGAATAAAAATGGTGAAACTTCTCAAAATAGAGATGATTAAAATAAAAGAAACCAAAAACAACAGAGAGAGATTCTTTGAATTATAATGGCTAGAGGAAAACTGAAAAATAAGGTAATGAGGTTCAGCTGAAATGTATTCTACAATACAAAGAAGTATGAACCATACTAAAGAAAAGACCAACATAACTCTCTGGAAAATCTTCTATTACAGTTTTGTGTTACAGAATAAACTCCTGCAAAGTTTTCTGCTGGAAAGTAGAAAATCTATTACAACAAGAAAAAAGAGGAAAATTAACTCTGGCAGTAAAAAGAATTTAAAGAGCAAATGGAAAGAAACATTAAGGGAAACCTGAATGAATTCTTTACATATGTCTTCACAACAAATTATACAAAGCATATCCCTAAATGTGTACTGACCTTTTCAGGATGTGAATTGGAACAATTAAACCAAATTGCAGTAATAAGTGGTAGTGTAGGATACCTTGAGGAACATGTTTAATGCCTCTTCCCTTAATATAAATTTTGGGGAAATAGCATAACAAAACAGATGAAGGCGAAGCAGCATGGATTTTGCAAAGGTAAATCTTGCCTTGTCATCTTTTGCATTCTTTTTTGAGAGACAGGTGTCAACAGGTGTGTGAATATAAGTGTGCTGTCCATACAGTATCCTGGATTCTCAAAAGGCCTTTCACAAAATTTCTCAGGAAGGATTCTTCAGAGAATTTGCAATCAGTAGCATACAACAAGGGTCTATTCTAGTTTGTGTGCATGAAATAATTAGAAACCAAAGAATACAGATAAGTAATCAATATTTTCAGTGCAAGCAAGGACTTCAAGTACCTACACTGGAACCAATATTTTTTTAAGTTATTCATACAAGATATTGACTTAAGTGACCAGAAAGCTGGACAGATTGGAAATAATACCAAGTAATTAAGGATATGAAACAAAAAGTGATTATGACAATATAACGAAGGCTCTTTTTAAGCTAGAGAAATGTTGAACATGCACTTAAATAAGTATAAATGGATGCACACTGAGGCAAGAGGATTTCACATTTATTCTAATGATCTGTATCACTAATTAGGAAAATCTCATTTGAACTATAGTGGCTAACTGCACTGAAACCTTCACTCAGTTTTCAGTAGTTGTCCAAAAGCCAGATCTGATGCTATTGATTACTAGAGAAGGGATTGAAATGAAACTGCCTACAATATACCTTCTATGAAGTTACGATATGTCTGCACTTGGAATAATACCATGTGCAGTTCTCATTGCCACATCTGAAAAATGATATAATACAGTAAAATACATATAATGAAAAAAAGTGCTGAAAAGAGTAGCCAAAATAATTAGAAAACTCTAATTCCTGGGAGAAAAGGCTAGAAAAGCTGGCATCATTTAGCTTAGGAAAAGAACAAAAAAAGGAAAGCATTTGAAGCATATGAAATAATGCAAAGAATTGAAAGTGGACAGAGAACTTTTCTTCCTGTCTCACAATATAAGAACCAAGAGTCATTCAATTAAACTAGCTGGAAGGAAATATAGAACTTTCTTACACAGTACCAGGGGTGGGTTGCTGCCAGCGTTACTGCTGGTTTGCTTTGCACGCGCTTTGCACGCGCTTTGAACGTGCTTTGCACCCTTTGTCATTAACAAAAACAAGACAGATTTTAATCCTTTTAAGATAAACTAAAAGCCATAAGGTTTATGAGAGTCTACAAGTATTAGTAGTTCATTCTACTATAGCTTAAACATCTTCAGGTTAAACATCTAAGCTCAGGATGCCACAACTCGAGATAATTAATCAGAATAAGAATTAGTTTTTTGCACCTTTCAATTAAGAATGGACAGCTCTAACTAGTGCTCTTACAAAACAGCAAACTTCAATTATTATTACAAAGCAAACTAGTTATGAAAACAATCACGATTCAATATTATGACTTTTCAGAACCTTGTTATCATAATGTCCCAATTTAGATAAATAGGAATTAATAGTTTATTAGAAATGTTCAGGTTTAATTGTGTCTTGGTCAAAGACATAAAGAAAAGGGGATAGTAAAGACTTGTTTATACTTCAGTTAACTCAGATGTCACTATTGTCCCTACTAAAGCTGAAAGCTAAAAGAAAAAGATTTATGCTCACAAAACACTGTGATGAATTGCCTAATTTTAATTCTCATCTTTTCAGGAGGATATTTAAAAAATTTGTAGTAAGACAAACATAAGATTTTTGTATTCCAAAATAAAACTATTTCTTAAATAATGACATTCCTGTAACAATGTTATATCATGACATACATATTCTACTGAAATGGTATCCTGTTACCATACAGAATAAAACAAAAGTACATTTCAAGAGAGATGAAATAATTATACACTTTCAATGGATCACTATAGCAAAGATTTTATCAAAAGAAAGAATCTCTTTAGCTTTCTTATGAGAAAATTACACTTTTCAATATGCATACATTTTCAAAAATAGCATGTGTATTTCAATAGATAGAAATTGACTTACTTTTGAAATCATGGGGTCATAATAAATACTAATTTCACTTCCTTGTTGTATGCCACTGTCAACACGAACCTAGAACAAAGTGAGATAAATTAGTTTTATAACAGGAGGAGGTTGGGGTTAGTTATTATTAATAATAGTAAGTGTGACCATTACTCTTTTCTTTGAATGTTGCATTTATTGTAATGGACCATAGACAGTTTCCACAAATCTTATCTCTGTATTTTGATATTTAAGTCTTAAATCCTCCACTTGGGAATTCACCACTGCCATAAAACATGTTTGTAGTTATTGATTTTACCAACAACATGCACAAAAAGTATCAGTGTTTTGTAATGATACCATGTATATCTTACGACACCCAGGATTTTACCACTCCAGAAGAATACTCAGGTATACCAAAAAGAAATTTTAGACCTGATAAGCTAGCTTCTATTAATTCTTGGTTTCTAACTTTCATAAATGCAACCATTTCCTTTTCGGTTTCACTTTCATCTGAAACTATTTTTCTCAAATATGCAACTCTAATGACATTCAGAGAGTTTTTTTTGCAAAGTTATATTCTGCAAGGTTACAGTTTTAAAGAGGTTTCTTTAAAATTTCATAGACTGGATGGGGAAAATGAATACATCAACATATGAAGGCATGTGTGCGGGCGCGCACACACACACACACACACATACATACAAGACTCTGCTAACTATTGAACTGTTTGAAGTATCTGGTAACTGTTAATTAACCCACAAAACTTAGTGTTATTAATTAATATAATTTCAATCTATTTACTTTTTACCAGGGTGAACATTAAAAATAAATCTTAATTATTGAATAACTAATTCCAGAATAAGTCCTTGATGTTTTTGAAATTTGTAAAGCATGTTAACTGAAACAAATACTTTTCTTTAAAAAATAATGATGTAATATAATAGTCTCTGATAATTTTGAGAAGAAAAACTAAACCTGATGAGGTGAAAGAGATATAACACAAAATATTGCATTTGGGTTTGGACGGCTGAGGGAAAGAAGAAGCTTAGAAACTCCCTTCAATCTTCACCTGGGGAAAAGAATTTTTTGTAATAAAACAGCAGTTCATCTGTCTGCAACAAGGCAGAAAGAGGTCAACCCAACGGCTGTTAGGCTTTTAGATTTTAATTTAGGCAATTATCAAGGGACCAGATGTAGAACCTCTTGTCTACAATATCCACATGAGGTCACACTGATGACTTTATTATCCAAATGACATGTCCTAATAGGCTTTACTCTATGAAAACTGCATCACATTCTTTCATGATGAAAAAAAAGATGAATTGTGCTTTATAATTACACATTTACTAATACAGGCTTCTTAATTCAAACAGCAACTGTCAAGCACCTTCTTTAGAAAACAAACAAGATACCTTAGAAATGCCCAGTCATCAAAACAATGATGCTAGCTATCCTCATTCCACAGAAGACAAAATATGCAAGCACAATTATTGAAGTTTGAACGGAAACTAACTTTCAAAATTCTGCATCACCACAAAATACATACCTAAAAATTAAAATTTTAAGAACAAAGCAAGGAAGGGTACAAAGTAATTTTCCAATATAAACATATCTCTTCAGAAAATTCTAAGCTAAAGAATTAAAAAGGAAGCCATAGTAACCCAAAAAGAAGGGAATATATTTCCTCATGAAACAAGATTTGTTATGCAACAAAGTGGCAGTAATCATTCGAATTTGTTATGCCTTTGACGTTTCAAACATGCACTATTATTTGCAAGCTAACATAGCAGGGCTGTGACGATTAAAAAATTGCAAATATTAAATTGCAAGGTAAATGAAAACTTCTGAAATTTGTAAAGGCAAAAAGGTTGTTCATGATGTCTGAACGTCTACAGAGATTTTTATTCATCCAGATCATTGAAGGTTCTTGGATGAGAAGCAAAATGTTTTCAGAGAAAAAAGTCAACTAAGTCCAATTACCTTTTGGAAAAAGCACTTTTAATGCCATTGAGTATGTTACATTCTATTTAAGATTCCATATGGATCGCATAGGATACTGCAACTTATATACGTTAACGGATAGTAAAACAGTGCTCTTACACAGGTAAAAGAGGATTTTTATTTACTGATTTGTTCTATTTTTGCAAAAATCCTAATGAATTTTATGGTGCAGTCGTCTTCTTAAGGGCTTCCTATGTTAATCTCTACATCTTAAAAATAGGAAGTTGATAATGTTATTAATGTTTCCTGGACTAGTGGTTCTTGCTTGGCTGCAGAACACATGGAAATAAACCGACAAAGAGAACCAAATTTTAAAATTTAAAAGAAAAGTTATGGTCAATTTTCAATGTGATGGCATACAGTCTTGAGTGAACAGATTAGATTTTAATCCTAATTTCCAGTAAAATAGTGAAACACAGATAATTTCCTTCTGTAAATAGGAAATTAGATATCTAGGGCAATGCTATACGAAATAGCTTTAACAGCTCAGTAAAACTTGGCACCAGTAATTCTTTAATATTCTACATATATTTTTATTCTTGTAATTGCCTTCAGTTAGTAATTTGTTTTTTTAATACAATACTATTTATGCAAGTACAATCTAATATGTTATAAATAATACTAGGCTATTTCAAATGAAGTTTAACAGTAACAGTACCTATAGTTATTAACCTCAAGATTTTCAAGTCTCTGTCCATAGCACCAGAAAAACATATCTTTTTAATTAATACTATTTAGGATCAAGCAACTTCTGACATTTTAAAGGCAAATATGACATATAAACACATACCAGAGATGGAAAAAATGCAAAATTATAAGTAAACCACTAAAAAAGCTATTTTTGAGTTTCAGTGGGTCTGATTACCAAACATTTTTGTTGTATTGACAATACGGCTTTTAGGGTTTGTAACACATCACATCTTAATTTGTGAGGGCAGAGAAAGCTTGTTTATTTTATTAGGCTAATAAAAGAAAGAATGTTTCCTATCAACATAAAGGTCAGCACTACAGAAAAATGGAAGGAAATGAAAAATCTAGTCACCTTCTTTTCCTGAAGGCAAGGTATGAATCTACCACAGGAACACAACACCGAGGTTAAAAGCAAGTTCTCTGTTTCATGCACAAGCATTAACCCTCAAAAGCTTCTCAACCTGACCAATATCTAGATGTGGAGATTTCAACTCTCAAAATTCTCAACAATGATCATGATAACTGGAGAATTCGGAGAGCTGAATCAACCTTAATGGCATTCTGACTGCCTCAGAAGGCTTCAACTGGGAGACTAGGCTTCCTTGTGCATTTGGTTGCCCACTTTGAGAAGAGCTTGCTGGGTGACTAAATGGGCCAGAGGTCTAAACCAGCAGGGCATCGCCTATGTTCTTAAATGTGCATAGCTGGTAATTGCCTGTAATGAGGAAAACTAAGTATTTGTTGCCAAGGGTATTTAAAAAATGAGTGCATATAAACAAGAGTATGTCTTGTTACTTTATTTGTGGCAAGTCTGACCCCTTATGTAGACTCTATTATGCTTATATTAAACAAATAATAATGATTTCATGACCATTGCAAGTCTGGAGCTTTAATCAACGAACGCAACTGTACTTCTGCACTATTTTTTATTTATTTAGTGTTTATTTATATCCTGCCATTATTTTTATAAATGGCTCAAGGTAGCAAACATACCTAATCCTCCTCCCTATTTTCCCCACAACAACCCTGTGAGTGGGTTGGGCTGAGATAGGGTGGCTGGCTTTCTTGTCTATGGCAGAATTAGAACTCACAGTTTCTTGTTTTCTAGCCTGGTACTTTAATCACGGGGGGACGCAGTGGCTCAATGGCGAAGACACTGAGTTTGTCGATCAGAAAGGTCAGCAATTCGGTGCTTCGAAACCCTAGTACTATGTAATGGAGTGAGCTTGTCCAGCTTCTGCCAATCTAGCAGTTCGAAAGCACGTGGAAAAAAATGCAAATAGAATAATAGGGACCACTTCGATGGGAAGGTAACAGTGCTCCGTGCGCCTTTGGTGTTTAGTCAAAATGGCCGCATGATCAAGGAGACATCTTCAGACAGCGCTGGCTCTTCAGCTTTGAAACAGAGATGAGCACCACCCCCTAGAGTCAGGAACGACCAGTACATATGTGCGAGGGGAACCTTTACCTTTAATCATTAGATCTCTCTGACTATACCTTTCTCTTTTGGCAAATAATTTAGTTTTGGTCAATTTTGGAAATAGAAGAAATGATTAATCTTTATAAGGAAAATGCAAAGAAATGTTCTACTGTACTATTTCCATAGACTTATAGGACCCTTGCAACTGAGAGAATATTCTCTTAATTTCAAATGTGCCCTGCTGCTTATAAAAAGAAAAACAAAATAAACCAACACAATTTGCAAAAAAAAAAGAAGTGCTATTTTAACACAGTGAGTGCACACCAAAAGGGAAAGGCCCAGGCACTTCATATGAAATCCTCAAAAATCATTACTCTTCGGCGTCCAACATAATTAAAATTTCTTCCCTCAGTATCATGATGGAGCATGTGAATCTATCAGGCATCTCCCACCCTTCATTTTCAATTCACCTCTCCCCTAAGCACAGCTCCCAACCCACTATGTCTACCTGACAAGTGACAGCCCAATCTGATTAAATGCTTGCAAAGGAGGGGACTTGCAGGCCTCCATGACAGGCCAAAAGTGATCACCATGGAGATACATAATTACAGCTGTCAACGCATCTACTGTCCTGCTGGCATCAATTTGATTGCTCCCAGCAATAATGATAGACAAAGCTTAGCATGCACTCTCTTGCACCCAATCACTTTATCTATTTTGTGATCCATTTAGCTGACATGCAACATTCGCACAAGCAAATAACAGCAGTAAGCAGAACATTTAAGGTATTTTAATTGTTTTTTTCTTTCTCTGGATGGCTCATAAGTGCAAATGTTATTACATAAAACTCCTGCTGCAGCATTAATTGAAGAAAGATTTTGTGGGACAAAGACCATAGGAGGTAGAGTTTGTCCATTATCACTTGTACTTTCAACAGGTCTCATGTTCGGAATATTGCAAATTGCAAAAACTTGCAAGGGCAAAATATTTGACAACCTGTTAGCTATTACACCATGGTGAAAAACCTCAACCCACCCCCAGAGTAATTACTGGAAATTCTTCCTTAGTTCATTTGGTTTTCATTAACCGTGATTAAGACACATTCTGTAATGTGTGTGTGTGTGTTTGTGGGTGTGTGTGTTTTATAACTCTTCCATTTAATATCATGTAGAATTTACTAAACCTTTATAAATTGTATTTCTGCTTTTAAACACAGCTTGAATTCTTAAAGCCCCCCCTCCCCCCGGGTCAAACATCTATAGAAATTATACAAGCAAAAACAATTTTAGAAATAAAATAAATCCTACATTCAGTTTCACCAAATTTAAAATTCAAGAGAATAACGATTTCCCCATGTAACTAATATTGGTAAATAATCTTGTTTACAGTAGTATCCCCGTTGTCATTTCACAAAGCCAACACCATTCCATGCTTGGTGTTGTATCCATATTTTGGCTACCTTGAAGAACAGAAATGCATTTGCCTTGTGTATAACAACCAATTAAACAAGAACTTTAAAAAACCCTTTGTACAGTATAATAAAGCACTTTTCACTATGTATAGAAAATTGCCTTTCATCTTTTAAAAAGATTCCAATCTAAAGAAATAGAAGCATTCCATTATAAAAGCTAGAATTATATCATGGCTAGTCCAAATCTTTAAAGAATGACTATGTAGAATGGTTGAGTTTATTTAGATGTACATCCCGGGATATATGGTGTTTGGGTGTTTGTTTGTGTTTGTTTTAGGTACAGTAAATTCATTTCTAATTACCAATAATTAATATAATTAACTACATTCCTCCTTGGTTTATAGAAATAGTTTAGGACAACTAGCCTTAAGACAGCCCGATCTCTTCTAAATCTGCAAAACACTACGAAATCTATGAATTCTTCATGCTTTGAAAATAAGAAATAATAAAACATCACAATGACTTACATTTGGGACATGCAGAGGCTCTTCGTATTGAGACAATCTGCCAACAGAGGGCAGACCAAAAGATTTGTAAGGGTCCTGAAATGAAATGAAATTCAAAACACAGAGTGGTATTAACTTTGTAAGACAAAGCACAGGAAGCAAGGTTAAGCTACTGGGAAACTAAGCATTTCCTCTACTTTAAATATGGACCAACTATATTTTGTTCTCAAAATGACTTATTTTAGTAGGGTTATGAAACTGCTTCTTCCATTCAAGTCATGGACGATTTGTTAAAGCTAAAAACTTCCTGCTGTGCCTTTATTAAAGCAAGGGCAACCTTTCTAAAAGAAAGCACAATACTAGGGGGCAAGCTAAGAGCACACGTTCACCACATTCACTCACACACACGCGCGCATGCATGCACACACACAGTAATACTCCGCAGACAAGTACTTCTGGAATTGTACACAAGACTCGGGGTTTTTAGTATCCCACTCTGTATAAATTAATAATACTGTTACGTTATATTTAAGGCATGCATCCCAGTATAAAGGCAATTTGCACTGTTTGACCCAAACATGTGGATAAAATTTTCACATTATTGTATGTATTATTGTATTCAAATCCTCAGTCATGTAAGTTGGATTTGAAGAACACTCAGAGGAAAAAAATAAACAGGGGGTGGGGACATAAAATAATATTTTATCCAATATAAAGAAAAGTGAACCAAATATTCTAACAGTGACTTTAAAATAAAAAACAAGTTCTTCAACTTTTGCTTTCAAATCCCAGTGGCAGAGTTTATAAAATTTAACTTTATCAATTCCAGATAAAAAGGGATGTTTTAAAAATACTACTATTGGTTATAAATAATATTTAGCTGTATAGCCTATTATAGATACATAGTCTATAATATCTACTGGAAATGTACAGCAACCACATTTTCTTTTCAGACCATTTTTTAAGGACTTAGTACGTTGCCTTTGCTTTCATAAATAAGTAAAATTGTACACAATGTTGAAATACCATTATAATCTTTTCCCCAATATATTATTCTCTAGACTATAGAGAATTTTATAAAATGAATGAAAAAGAAAAACAAGATAAAAAGAAATCCTAGCTTCTCCCAACACCTAACAAGTTTCTTCTACAGCAATTCTCCTTCGGCTATTAAGTTATTTTTTACCTCCGCATATACTCGACATTCAACTGCCCAGCCGTTGATGGGAATATCAGCCTGCTTGTGCTTGAGAGGGTATCCCTTAGCAACACGGATCATTTCTTGGACCAGATCCAAACCGGTAATGCATTCTGTGATGGGATGTTCAACCTGCAAGGTTAAGAACTGTCAGTCAGTAACAACACAACTAAACTTTCTAATATCTCAACCCGATAACAAAAAGTGGGGGGGGGGGGGGGGTGTTAATTTACAATAAGGACTATGGATGATCCTCTTTGTTACACAAGACGTACAGAAACTATATGTTTATTATTTATTGCAGAAAATAGATATGCAACAAAACCAAGCAAAGAATAATTGCAGATAATGGCTAAAACAGACTGGCTAGATGGATGGACAGATAAGAGTACATTTGTTTTGGAGTGGTGACTTTAAAAAAGAGAACAACTTTTAATCTAGAAATACAAAAGCATTTTGACTGAATCTCAAAAAGCTGGCTGATAATCAGCCCGTTCTGCTACACTTAACATGGTCTGCTACACTTAACATGGCATGTACAGGAGCAGCCTACAATCTTCCATAGAATCAGACTAGCTAAGTCTTACCCACACGCCTGCTTTCACTAACCTGTCCTGACAAGCAACGAGATTAACGTAATCTTACATCAATGCAGTGTAGCAGAAATGAGCAGATGGATACTTTAGGGTTGTTGGCTTTTTTTTTCCATACAGACTTATCTCTGTAGTGCTTAACATGCATAATAGCAGAGCTGGACCAGTAGAATCACTGCATGCTCTCAACAAATAGCTGCTAACAACTCAGGATGATGCTGTCATGGGAATACCCTCACTCCCAGTTAAACCAAAAAGAAGAAGTGGTGCAAGAGTTGCTTTGACTAGTAAGACAGATTTATATAATGTACATTTTAACTTTGCAAATTTGACTTTAAATAATGATAAAATAAGTACATTTAAAGAGCAGGTTAGCATAATACATGCTGGAGGGAGGGAAGGAGGGAGGGAGGGAGGGAGGAAGGAAAGGAAGGAAGGATTTAATCATTTTGTTTTATTGTAAAGTGTTATTGCAGTTGAAATACTATGTCTGTGAAATACTGTCTTAAGAAACACTATTTCACAAACATTTCTCCATTAAGAGTTGTCATACTTCATGTATTTGTGACACAAAAAAGGTCACTGAACAAATGAAGTATTTGTTTGAAATACATAATTGAAGGATAACATTTTGTCGGATGTAATATCTCCATAATGGTCTTTGCCAAAAAAACGAGTAAAATTAACAGATGGCACTTATAATTAGCTCTCTGTGCATTTAAAATTTTACACCACCATATTTTAAGATAACTTAGCTGTTTCAGTGACATCACTGAAATAAGCACCATTCTAACTATTATACTAAAATGAAGGTTTTATTATATGATTAAGATGCTTCTTTTAGGACTTAGTGTCAAATGCGTAATACTTTAACAGGTATATCAATCTTATTAAGACTCTTGATGAAATGACAATCAATTCTTCATCTACACTGAAGTTCTACCCTGTCAAATATGTAAATTATTTTATTTTTATCTATTTTATTTATTTATCATTAAATTTATATTGCCACCTGAATTCGCCCATGGTGACTCAACGTAGCTTACAGTAAAACTATTTTTAAAAGAATCAAATAAATTAATATAATAAAATCACCCTCCACCTCCTGCCCCAGCAACAACAGATCACACGGGCCATTTAATGGGCTCCATCCCTCCCTGGGTTCCCCAGGCCCACTGGCAGAACCAGGTCTTCAGCTCCTTCTGAAAAAGTATTAGAGTGGGGGCCATTCTAATCTCCTGGGGAATGATGTTCCAGAGAGAGGGAGCCACCATGGAGAAGGCCCTTCTTCTGGGTCCCATCAGGTGTATCTCCCTCAGGGATGGGGCCCACAATATTCCTTGCCTCCCCGCAGGGAAATTATCAACACACTTGGGGGAAACATATTTATTTTCTCAAGAAATCTGACTCTTTTTTTACTGTTTTAAGATATCTATAACTACTGAATTTTTTTCAATATATCTGAAACTTCTGTATTATTCTAACTGTGTCATTTTATTGTATTTTTTAAATTAAGTTTTCTTTCTAATGTGAAATATAGTAACTTCCCCATAGTTACCATAAAGTAGTATTTCACTTTTTATGGTCAAGCTAGGTACAAACTCATTCTGAAAGCAAAATATTTCTGCAGCTTTAATATTTATCAACATTTATATAATTTAATCACTGTCTATAAAAACATTATTGCCTGTTCCATCAATATGGTTTCTTTGTAAAAAGCAGTTATAAAAGGGTGGGAGAGCAAAGTACATGCAAAAACAGTTGGATGTTTCAACAATAAAATCATTTGATTGAAACAATAGTTAATTGTCTTTTTATTCTATGTTTATTTTCTTACTAAGAACAGCATACACACTTTCTTTGTTATTTTAACAGTGAATTTATTAATTTTTGCATTTTTATTTTTCTATTTCCAGTAGCCATTTTGGAAACCACCCTTAACTTGGAAGAGTTAGGCTCCACCAGATTCTGCCTTTTTACCAGCTGTCATGAAACAGCTAATCTACCAGGCTACAGTAAAGAGAGAAAAAAGAACTAAAGCCCCTCTATCAGGTCAGGAAAAAGATTAGCAATTTCCTTTTCCTCCATTCTTTTTAGCTAGTCTTCATAGCAACAAACTATGACTGGGTTAAAACCATGCTTACCATCTTTTGCACATTGTATAAGGTGACCAGATTTTCAGATTGGTAAAGAGGGACACCTTTGACCGGAAGGGGGGGGGGGGGCTTGATTAAAAATTTTATACGGAGCAACAAAAATTTTCATACAATGCAAAAATAGTATTGTAATTTTTTTTATTTCAACATAACTACAATTTACAAATATAAATTTTAACTGTTGCCAAATATCAAAATTTTGAT